GTGGGAGCCACCCCCTCCCTCCCTCCCTGCGCTCGACACCCCTGAGACAAGCCAATTGCAGCTCCATCCCACACCCCATTTGAGGGGGGATCAGCCCCCCCCCCAAATAATTTTTTCTCCCTCTGCCTATGTCCCCAGGCCTCTGATGAGGTGTGTACAGGAGTGGGAGCTTTCCCCCATCATGTGCCTTGAGAAGCCACTCGGGCTCCAACCCTCCCCCAGCCCAGCCTGCCTGGGGCCCTGCTCACCCCTGCCCATGCCCCACTCTCTCCCTCACCGTGGGAGCCCCAATCTGCCCTGCCCCTCCCCTACCCCACCCCAGACTGACCTGCTGGGTGGGAGAGGGACGGGGGTAGACTTTGGGTTGCCCTTTACTTTAAAAAGTGATCTTCACCTTAAAAAAGTTGGAGACAACTGCTCTAGCATGACTGCACTTCCCCATAATTTGGTACCATCTGCGAATTTAGCCAGTCCACTTCTGATACCCGAATCAAGATCATTAATGAATATATTGAAGAGTGCTGGTCCGAGTACTGAACCCTGGGGGATGCCACTGGTCACCATGTGTCGTGTTGACTTGGTTTCATTGACTGTCATTTTCTGGGTCCAACCACAAAGGCAGTTCTCCAGCCATCGAACTGTAAATTTGTCAAGGCCTCAGTTCCCCAACTTTGGACATTGTGGGAGACCAAGTCAAAGGCTTTTTTGAAATCCAAATATATGACATCAACCTCTTCTCCCTTGTCCAGGTGATGTGTCTCCTGGTCACAGAAGGAAATGAGGTTGGTCAGGCTAGACCTATCCACAACGAAGCCACGTTGGCTAATCTCTCAGAAAGTTGCCTTCCATTAGGCTGTTGTTGATGGTTTCTTTGATGATCTTTTCCAAGATCTTTCCAGGGATTGAGGTGAAACTGATTGGCCTGCATTTCCCTGATTCTTCCTTCCTTCCTTTCTTGAAGATAGGGACCACATTGGCCCTCTTCCAATCTTCTGGAACCTCTCGCAAGTACCACAAGTTCTCAGATATCCTTGCTATTGGTCATGCTATGATGTCAGCCAACTCTTTTAGCACTCTTGGGTGCATTCCATCCAGGCCTGCTGACTTGTGGATGTTCAGCCTCTCAAGCTATTCCCTCATAAGATCTTCACCAATAATAGGCATATGATCACCCTTACCCTGGTAATCCTGCATCCTGTCAGCCAGAGTGATTTCTCTGAGCTGGTGGAAAACCAACACATATTAATCATTAAGGTTAGCTTTTTCCTGGGTGTTGATTGTTAGCTGTCCCATTTAGTTCAGCAAGGATCCAGTGTTGCCCTGTTTCTTTTTCTGACTTCCCACATATCTGAAGAAGAACTTTTTATTGTCCTTGATTTCCATAGCCAGTTTGAGTTTGGTTTCAGCCTTAGCTTTTCTGGACCACTCCCTACAGGTACAGGCCAATGCTGCATACTTCTCCTTAGTGGTATTTCTCAACTTCCATCCCTTATAAGCTTCTCTTTTTAGTTTCAGGAGGTTGAGTTCCCTATTAAGCCCAGGGGTTCTCCCACCCCTTTTCCTACCTTTCCTATGGGCTGGAATAGACATCTCTCATGCTTTTAGGATTGCGGCCTTAAGGAGTAGCCACTCATCATGGACTCCCTTCCCTGTCAGATCATGGTCTCTCAGGGCCTTGACACCTTACCTCCTGAGCTTGTGAAAGTCAGCTTTCCTAAAGTCAAAAGTCTTGTATAGATGGGACTGAGGCAGGGAAGGGAAGGAACTAAGGTTGTATCCAAAAAAAGCATATAGGTCCCTAAGTCCTATGTAGATGCTTAAACTCCCATTGAAATCTAAGGAGTTTAAGCTTGTAAAGTCCTGTGTGCAACTGGCCCCAGGTCACAAGCTTCACAAGCAGGGAACTGAATCCAGTCTTCCCAAGTTCTGGGATCTTGCTTTAACCACTGTACAGTCTGTCCTCTTTTGGTCAGACCCTTAGGAATGACAGAGCTAAAAGTATTCTTCTCTATCCAGCCTTCCTGTCACTATCCTCTTTACACCAGCACTGGAGGGAGAGGTGAGCTTCAATCTTATCTGTGATGTCAAGAGGAAGACCCAGCCCCTCTCCTTAAATGTCAAAGCTGTTGGCTACAGCATGAATGTTTCAGTCAGGTGTGAAGAAAGCAACGGCCTGATCACCGAACTGAGTGTGCAGGAGACCAACATCATCAATCTCAAGGAGGTAGGAGGGCAGAGATGGAAGATGTAGAGGGGAAAACATACTTGGGATGCTGTAGCCCTTGTCACCTGGTGGCACAGTGATCCTAGAACAATGTTTGCTATCCAGTGTGCCGCAGCACAAAAGTGTGCCATCAGAAATGAAGAGGTGTGCTGTGGAATTTTGCTATGGCAATGAGCTACAATAAGCTACAATAGATATGAGGATGGGGAATGCCTTAAGTGTGCCACAGAAAAAATTATTAATGTAAGTGTGCCTTAGCCTGGAAAAGGTTGGGAAACACTGTTCTAGAAGTATCACTGAGCCTCCACTGAGACAAGTGAGACCACCCTGGGAATATGTGACTCTTTAAGAGGTCCACTGAGGGTTTCTGAAAACTCTGCCGGCCAGAAAACAGAGGCTTCCAGCCTAGACTTCCAGCTGACTTGCTTTGTCTGCTTTTGGTATCACCCTTGTAAAATACTACGTTACCTCTAGCATTATGAAGCTGGCATCTCATATGTCCTTTACCAAGTACACCTGACCCCCTCTGGGAGGTGGAAGTCAAAGGGATCCTGTTGCACTGATATTAAGAACTTTGTGATGGGAAAATCACATAGTTGTGAGGTTTAGGGTCCCAGTGCTGACCGCTGTTATGCTGGAGGCCCCAGGAAAGTTTTTCAAACATGCCTAAGGGCATGGGCAACTGGTGCCTCCCAAGTCTGAGGGTGCACCAGATCACTAGCGGGGGTGGAGAGTCCCCCAATGGCCAGTCGCCAAGCCAGCGGCAAAACCAGAACTGCACTTCTGATTTTGTGACTGGCAATTCCAGGGGATACACGGCTGATCTCAGGGGGTGCATGTGCACCCGCGTGCACCCCCTATGCATCACCAATGCCTAAGGGATTTAGAAACATCACAGTGGATCAGATCATATTGAAGTCTGCCTGATTGCAAACTTGAAACCTTATCCTGCAAATCCTTCCCCACGTAACTAGGGCTTACCCTAAGGGACCCTGTATGACTGGGTCATTAGCAAAAAGCTTCACAAATGTAATTTAACCAAGCCAGGCTGTGTCCCTTATCTTGGTTGCCAGTAGGCACAGCCCAGCCACAGGAGAGCTGATATAAATAATCCAGCGTGCTAGATCCTGAAACCTGTGCTTGTGACATACGCTGCTCCAGAAGCACATGATGTAGCAAGAGGAGCAGGGCAGCTCCTAATGGAAATATGTGGGTGAACCGTATTTTTCAGCTATCCCTGTGATTACGTATTTTAGTCAGTGCCACTTGTCCCATTCTTTGAGCATCAGATTTCATTTTAAACAATGTACATGTGCTTTGTGGTAGCAGCAGGTTGTTGGAGACCTTAGGATCATGATGAGAGGCAGCAAGTCTTGGGCATTGAGAGCCAATGTAAGTCTAGGGCTCTGTGGAGTCCACAAATGCATAATGTACATTAGAACTTGGTACTGCTGTGACACGGAGTACATGAGCCCCTGTGTGTTACATACTGGATCAGCTCATCCTGAGAAGCTGCAGTCCACAGAGAGAAAAGCCTCCTTGAGGTGTTAGTCTGTAGAGAGCAGTGGCCACCCAGATGTGTACAAACCCTGGCTTTGAGACCTGAGCTTCAATTCACACTGACACACACACACGGTGTGGCGCAGCATTGCACAGGCAAGTAGACCTCCAACCATCTCTCTAGTTAGTTCATGGAACTAGAGGACATAGGTGACTAGACTTCCTGTATCTTCTTGATGTATTTGCTGGCCTTGCAGGTATTAAGATTATGTGTGCTGTCCCCTTCTTGTCCCACAGGTGGAAATAAATGAACATGCTCAGTGCAGCTTCTATATCCTGAACACTGGGAAGTTCAACTTCAGTTTCTTGTGGGAGTTTTCTGGTCCCAAAGTGTTGCAGCGTTACCTCGCAATCAACCCTGAGAGGGGCATTGTGGATGCAGGGGGTCAAGCCCAGGCCCTGCTGACTTTTCACCCTCTAAAGACATGCACCTTAAAGGACATAGAGCTGAAGCTACAGGTGAGGGTGAGGGTTTGGTAAGTGTCCTCCTCACAGGTCATGAGGCTAAAAGTTTTGGCAAGGGAGAGGAATCAGAACTTGTGGCAGAGGTGATATCTTTTATTAGATCAACTAGATATTTGCACCAAAAAATCTTTATTTGCAAGCTTTCAGGCACACTCATCTTTCTTCAGGCATAAGAGAAAGCAAAGATTGTAAAATTTCTTCTAGATGGAAATGAAAATTCATATTTCACAGAATTTTATGTGAGCCTAATTTGCACAAAATGAACTATTCCAACCAGGAGATCTTACAACACTTTCAGCTCTCCTGTGAAATACAAATTTTCATTTCCACCTAGGAGAACTTTAACAGTTTTTGCTTTCTTTTATGCCTGAAGAAGAGAGTGCCTGAAAGCTTGCAAATAAAGAATTTTTTTGCAAATAACTAATTGGTTTAATAAAAGACATCACCCCTGCCACGAGTTCTGATTCTTTTTTCCTGTAAACCAGTATGGCTACAACCTATATACTTTGGGCAAGGAAAGCATGAACAATGATGAAGTTCTTTTCTAGACCAAAACTGCATGAGACTTTGCTTTAAAAAGTGAGGCTTCCTGTAGTAAGCTGAAAGGGCTGACTTTTTTCCCACTACATAGGGATAGGTGCTGGCATCTAAGCTAAACATCATAATGGTTCTGGGACTATAAGAGATAGCTCCCAACAAGAGTCCACTGAGTTCACCACCATATCCAAGTGCGACTTCCCCTAGTGCTGAAATAATTCAGTTGGATGACTAATAATGAGAAACATCTAATTCCTTCTGGTTTAATCTTAGGCTCTGATAATCATCCTAACTTCCTTGAAAGATGGAATAGCTCAGAGGGTACAGCATTTACATCGTAAGAGACAGATTGAGTCAGATCCTATTCCATCTATTAAGCATCTAAATATAATCCCATTCCACCCTACTTGAGTCCCTAAAATACCATTAACACATCTGCTTCTGTAACATGCTGTCAGCTTATCCTGGAGACTGAGTCACAGAAGCAGCAAGAAAGAGGAGGACCCTTGCAGGTTTGTCATTAATGATTTTCAAAAGATTTGAACAGGGTGGAATAGGATCATACTTAGATGTCTAATGGATGGAACAAGATCTGGCCCAATATGTTCAAGACACATTATCTCTATTGAGTTCCTAGGGAAGTTATAGAATCTTCTTTATCGGAGAGTCTCAAGAAGAGGCTAGACAGGCATCTGATTGGGACATCTAGGAACAGCAAATCCTGTACCTTACGCAGTTTCTTCCAACTCTGACCCTACAGAGGACATGTGTCTGACACACTCACAGGGTGTACTGTGACCATGCTGCTCCGTCCTGTTAAAAGACCTGCTTAGGAAGCAAGGTCCCATGGTCTGATTATAGTATGGCTGTGCCATTTTGGCAGTGTTGACAATATGTGCTGTAAACCAACAGCTGCAGAAACCTGAGCAAAGGCAGTGATGGGTTTGTTCTCAGGTTACACCACTAAGCCATGCATTCCAGCTTTTCACTCTCCAAATGGTCCTGTTACCTAAGCTCTTCCATGCTGAGATACCTGAAGCTTGCTGGTTGTCAGCTGTTGAGCAGCATCATCAAGTGCAGTCACGCTTCATGCAGAGGGCTGGTCTTTCTCATGAATACTGCAACAAAAGAGCTTGTGGCCTTTTCTTTTCACAGATCAGCAATGGCCCTACATTTAGCTGTGTGCTCCTGGCTTCTGTAGTGGTACCCAGCATTCACTTCTCCTTCACTAAAATCAACTTTGGAACCTGCTTCATCTACTATGCAGGAATGCCTCTGGCCAGAAAGACCCTCACCATCACAAACAAGGAGGACAAAGAGATTAGGTAGAACACCAATGGAAAGCTGCCTATATTATGTACTCACCTGGCCCCCTCAGACCTCAGTGACTCACAGTCTTTAACATATGTAACATGCCTTTGTGGTAGGGCAATGCTGTTATCCCCACTTTCTGCAGACAAGGGGTTATTCCCCCTCCCTCCCACATCTGGCGGAGGGGACAGAAGGGGGCTTATCCCACTGCTTCCCCCATGCAGGGAGCGAGCGCAGCAGTGGAGGTCAGGCTGCAGTCCCCAGGAGCAGACCTGGCTGCAGTCCCCAGGAGCAGAGCGGGGAATAACCCTCTGCCTGAGGGGCCATTGTGGCGCATGGCTGCAACAGCAAGGGGGGAGCACCTGACAGACTCAGCTCAGGTTCCTGCCAGTGGGACAAGGAGCAAGGAATTTGACCTCTTTCTGGCCAGTTCAGTCCAGGCTGGCCACGCCCTCCCCCGAGCACAGCTTCCCTAAAGCTGAGGGCATGCTCTAGCACCCCCTGGCACCTGGCTTAAGCAACTGCAGGAATGTGCCTGCAGTTTCTCAGTCCAGAGGGAATGGCTGTACTGTTACAAACTGGTTCAACCTAGGCAGGTTAGACTAACCTGCAAAGATTTAATCCATTTAGGCTCTGGGTTTTTGAATGTTGGTCCCTAGCCTAGAGCATGCCTTCCTACTCGGCTGGAGCAGACAGCTTGGGCCAAGGCTAGCCTGCCCACTCTGCAAGGGGGAGGGGAGTTGCAGGGGAGCTGCAAAGCATCCTGGGATGCTGGAAGTCTGAGTTAACTTGAATCTGGAGAGGATCTTGGACAGAAGTTCAATAAACTGGTTTAGCTTAAATCAGTTAAGTCTGATACTACATCCATCCAGATTTATCTTAAACTGGTTTTGGCTATTTTGAAAGCAGTTTATGTGTACCGAATGTCTGTGATGTTACAGATTTGAACTGGTTTTCAATCACTTTTACTGGTTTATGGGTAATTTCTGTCCCTAGCCATGGGGTCAGCAGATCCAACCCTCATTGAAATGAGGCTGGATCTGTCCTATTATGCACAGCTGTTTAATTTGCATGAACCGCTAGCAATATCCCTGGATAATGGTCTCAATGAAAGGGGAGAGGGAGAATTCTAAGATATGCTGAGTACACTAGACTTTTAATGCCCAGATGCTTCTCCTTTCCTTTGACCTTCCACAGCTTAGACTGCTTGTTCAGCAACACAGCCCACCTTGAGGTGGGCTTCCAGGCTGATGTGCTGAATCCTGGAGAGAAGATAGAGGTTCCGATCACTTTCTATCCCAGGGAGGCTGTTTCCTACCATGAAATCATCCCCTTTGAAATCAATGGTCTTTCCCAACAGACTGTTGAGGTCCTTGGGAAGGGCTCAGAGATGAAGGTGAGGTGAAACACCAGCCCTAAAACCCTAGGCATCACAGACCACACTTGGTCTTGCCTCTCCCTTTCTCTTTCCCCAATTAACAAACTTTTACCTTTCTCCTTCCCCTTTCCCCCTTTTCCTTCTCTCATTAATGATCCTTGCCCATGCTCTGTCCTCATCCTGTCCACAGATTGACGTTGTGGAACCACAAAGCAAAGTGGTGAAATTTGGAGCCCTCACTGTGGGGCAGACTATGAAGAAGACTGTCAGAATAGCGAACAACAGTGTTGCCCCTCTTACTTTTAACTTAACTTTCATGTTCACTATGCTTGAGCTGCAGGAATCTAAGGTAAGCTGTGTGCTTAAACTAGAGTGCATATCATGCTGTTGCTTGAGCCCTTTGGGCTGGAATTGAGAGAACATACAGGCTCCAAGCTTGGGCTTTCACCTTCATGTTCCAAGCCAAATCAATTCCAAATCCATGAGTCATTCAACTACCATAAGTGGCCTTACTACTGGCAAACATCCTCCACCCCCACCAGGGGTTTCAGATGCTTCCAAATCATTTGCTGGGCAACCCAGAGGCTTGGGGTTTAGGTCCCCCCAAGTTTCACTTGCCCTCAGCCATATGGCTTCAGGAGCAAGGTAGGGAGGAGTCTCCCATTTCCATAAAGTGGGCGTAAAGCCAGGATCTTCCCACTGGAAGAGAAAGTGGGAGGTTAACTGTACATTACCTGTATGGGTACTACCCCATGCCAGAAAAACAGTTATCCCCAGCAACTAGAAAAACCACCTTAGTGGTCATGGTATTTCACCTGCCAGGGATGTGCAACAGGGAGCAGCTGGTTCTGTGCTTAGAGTTCTAAGGATCAGTAAGGAGTGGTCAAGGGGAGTGGTCCAGGGATAAAGCTAAGCAGCTGTGGGAAAACTGCTGTTTTTATGTGTAGACCTAAGGGCATCATGGTCCCAAGTTGCCAGATGATGTGCATTCGGCCCTCTTTTTGGGCAGGTTCTCAGCTTGTCTCCTTCCAGTGAAATAACTCTGAAGCCCAAAGGAGATACCTGCACTGTAGAGGTGATCTTCTCCCCGAAGTGCCGCATTCCACAGTTCACAGAGGAGGTGATGCTCGAGTGCAATGGGCTGGCGCGCTCCCTGTTCATGGTCTGGGGCTGCTGCCAGGGCATTGAAGTGAGTTTGGACCAGGAGCACATCCCTTTTGGAGCAGTGGTGCAGCAGAGCAAAGCTTCACGGCGCATCATCATGCAGAACACGGGAGACATGGGAGTCAAGTAATGTAGCATCTTCACTGTTTACAATACAAGTCCTGTGTTACTGAAAGCTTCTGCTGCAACTGTGAACCAGGAAACCTTTAAGCAGCATCCATCCCCAGAGAGTATTTATCACTACATAGACTGCCACAGCATGGTAGGGCAGAGCCTCCCTGAGGCCCAGGTTTGCAGTCCATTGTGTGATTGAGTTACACAAGTTGAATCATCCCGCCAGGCCACTGTGCACATCACAGAAGGTCGTACACAACATGGAACTCTTCCTTTGAATAAAGGTGACAGAGTCCAGCCCTCTAGCATTTAGCAAAGATCCTGGTAATGTTCAGAGCCACACTCAGGCTCCTGCAAACTGTGTCCAGGGATCTGTCACTTGATAGGTAGTGACAGAGAAAGCCCTAAGATGTGTGGGGGATTCTACTCTTTGTTCTTCTCCTTCCCAGCTAGGCACCAGGAACCCCACTTTATGTCCTTCCTTTTCTTCTTTGTGTATTTTTGAAAGGTTTAAGTGGGACACCAAGAGCTTTGAGCCAGATTTCTCCATCAGTCCCGTGGAGGGCTATATCTCCCCAGGCATGGATGTCCCCCTTGAGGTGACTTTTCACCCCTGTGAGCTGAGCCAGGAGATCCACTATGACAACCTGCAGTGCTACATCCAGGGCAGCAAAGCACTCAAGCTGTCTTTGACTGGATGTTGTGTGAACATCCCAACGACAAAAGAGGTAAGGAGGGCAGGTTAGAGAGAGCCTATGGGGCAATTCCAGACTCCTGGGTCAACTCCTCTGCCAGCCATGAAGCCATGCACACACACACAGAATGTTACATCAGCAGTTAAACAGGAGTGGCAATAGCACATCCTACATGCTGGAAGGATGAAGCTGTCATGGGTGAACAGAGCTTTAATTCTAGCACCAGGAACATGTGAGGACCTTACTATGCTCAAGGCTCCTTTATCAATGAAAACACTGACACCAGCTCCACAGCGGGTATGGATACAGCTCCAGGGGAGTCTGAATACTAGCCTGTTGGTTGGAGGGGCTTGGCTGAGCAAAAGCGGCCAGAGGCTCACACTTAGATTTCAGCCCTAAGAGCCTTTTCTTGAGCATCAGATGCTCTAATCCTACTGCATTCCCAAAGCACAGCTCAGACCAGATCAAAGAGCCTGTCTGCAAAGAGGCTGTCCTTGACATCTAGGCTTCTGCTGTGCAGCTCCTCCCTCATATTGAGTTCCATAGCACTGCAAGTGTGAATAACAGTTGAGGAGTGAGGTCCAAAAGGAGGAAGAGATTATTTTCCTGTGTTGATACATCTGTCCCTCTCCTTGTTCTGTCAGGCTGCTGGCCTGTTTGCCCAGCCCAGGGAAGGCTAAAACTGGACCAAAGTCACTTCTGGGCCCTTCCTTTAGGGCACAGTTTATTTCTTTCAACAAAAGATTCCAGATTAACACAAAACAGAGCCTTTCCCTGAAAACAAAGACAGCTAGGAACTATACGCCTTTAGTCTTCTCCAGAGCTAGCCACAGGGGCCTTCCTCCTTCCAGCTGAGCTATCTCAGTCCTTTGCAGGTCTCACCTAAACTCCCTTCCACCTAGATCTGATAACTGAACAAGGCTGCTGGTCTCAGCCTCTTTCTTGGGACACAGCACCATGTTTCGGTCCTCCACCCTTCTTTCTTCTACATCTTTGCTAATGGGCAAGGATATACTTGCATTTATACATGCACACTCGGACACATCAGTACCCTATGGGAGAATGGAAAGAAATCCCCAATGGCATTGAAAGATGTCCATGCTCCTTCACTGCAGATCCTGAATTTCACATGCCAAGTGCGTGGAAAACACACCCAGACCATCATGCTGTCCAACCGGAGTAACCAGCCATGGAGCTTGCAGCCCATCATTGAGGGGGAACAATGGAAAGGGCCAGAATTCATCAGGGTGGAGGCTTATCAACACAACAAGCCCTATGAGATCACTTACAGACCCCTCAGCATGAATGTAGAGAACAAGAAGCATCAGGTAAGTAAGCATACTTTGTAGCCACTGGATAGAGGCCAGATAATAAAGGCATTGCAGGCAGGCTGTTTCAGCAGATTAATAGGCATATCAGACAAACAACTACAAGTCTGAAATGGTTCTTGATCTTGGCACATGGACAGAGGAAACAGTTTATATGGTTTTTAAAAAGGGTGGAATTAACCATGCTGCATCTGAATTCCAATGTGACTGTTTTATGTGTCTGCTTCTACCCTGAAGTGAGTGGAAGTTAAACTGGAACATCTTATTCCCGAATGAAACATAGCTAAGTTTTTACTTACTGCAGGGTAGGAATGGAAAGCCAAAACAGTTGCACAAAACAGCCTCTCCAGTTTTTTTCACTCACGTGGAGTTCACACCATCTATAATGAGAGATCTTTCCATGCTAGCCTAAGAGTTCTGGTCTCCAAACTAATAGCAGGGGTGACCAGAGGTAATAAAGTGGAGAGGGAAGGCCCAATGTGTAGCAGAGAAACAAGAGTCACAATCTGAAACAAGACCTATGTTAGAGAGAAGTTGGGCTCTTACCTTGGTGAGAGCTGGAGCATTATGCCATAG